CTGGTCGTGTTAACGACTCCTTCCGTATCCATTCTGCCTCCAGGATGTCCTCTTCCCGCTCCAATATCTCCATTAAGGCGTTTATCGCCTTCTCACCTGAGATGTTTGTGTACATGTATTTTACATTCGAAACTCACCAACCCAATGTTCTGGATCCTTTGAGAAAATTCATATCAATTCTTGAGCTTTAAGCAAATGAATTTCGCTAGTTCATGCATTGCTCCATGCTCCATGACTATTAGTCTTAGAGGATTTCCTTCTTTGTGTATCTTCGGTAATTTGTAAGATGTCGGTGGTTTTGCGTCATTTTTAATTAAAGATTTTATCATCTATCTGTTAATTTTCACATTATTATTCATTTCCTTTAGCATATTCTTCAGTGTCCGGTTAATCTTCGTGGTTGAATCCTTCCTTAGTATTTGATAAGTGTTCCAATTGCTAGAATACTTTCCATTTTCTCCGTGTATTGTTTCCTGTCCATCATAACAGTCGCTCCTCCCTTATCCGCCTAAGGAACCATTTTATCATTCATTTGTACACACCACACTATATCTAAATAAACTCGGTAAAAATTATAATAGTGAAGGCATGATAGGATGTTACCGGAAGGTCGAATAACCCACAGCAGAATTGGAGATACCACAATTGTTCAGCACACGTTTGGTCAAAGGATCGGCTTCACTTGTCTCTTTGATGAGTTGTTGTATGGTGCTAAGAATGGCGATACTCACTGATGATGCCGGCGAAGCGTTTGGGAATGTACCACGTCCACGGTTTAACTTTGGAAATGATCATGCAGACAATGGACTCCGGACTAGGTGCGTTCCTCTAAGTCTTCCTACCAATATGGCCATGTTGCGAAAACAAGGTCAAACAACCTCTATACAACGAAAGGAGACTGCGACCACACAAAAGGTTACACCATTCTATACAACGAAAGGAGATTGCGACCACACAAAAGGGCACACCACGCTGCAAAAACAAGGTCAAACAACTTCTATGCAGCGAAAGGAGACTGCGACCACGCAAAAGGCCACACCATCTTGGTCTTCATTCCTTTGGAAAGTTACTTATTTGGTAGTGATTTCATTAGCATCATTGTCGAACTCATTGCATTTACATCCAAAGTATTCCTCTGGAACTCTTAACAACAGTAGTGTACAGTAAGAGCCCAATTCAGGAGCTAGTCTTTATTTACATCCTAATTTATGCTGGCCACAGTGAAATGAATTTTGGATTTAGCATGCACTCCGATCCTATTAGTTTTGATCATCCAATCTGTCAGAAAATTCGTCCAAATATTGTTAATTCTTTTCAAAGCGTCTGAAAATTGTTAATTGCCCTTTTGCCTATTGTGATATTTAGGCCACTTGTTCATTCAATTATGCTAACCTTCGAAACAATGTTTCTGTCCTGTGCTTTGGCCCCAC